TTATGATTTGAACTTGCTCGGGAGAATCTACCATTGTACTGGCTTATTCAGAACATGGAAGTGTTTGAAGTCCATTCTAATGTTTGAAAATCTCACTCCGTCTATTCAGAGCCTCTTGTGGTCAAGGAAAATCACGAAGCCCTTCTATGCGCGCTCGACGACAAAACTGTCTCGTTAACTGAGTGATCCTCTGCTTATCATGACACGACAACTAATATTGCTATAAAAAATTATGTACATTGAAATAACCATATGATCAATACAATTATTAAAGAAAAAAAAGGAGTAAATTGAACAATGATTTTCAATTTAAATCTTAACATATCATGGCATGCATAAAATTAAGAAAAAATTCCCCAAACCCAATGTAAATATACTCAACTACTTCACCACACTCATCAAAACATTGAAAAAACATTGCATGTATTAAATCATATTAAATGCAAGAAAGTTAGATGAATAGAACCATATTTTCACTCAAATAACTCATTTCTCCTCTCACAAGTATTTTAAGTGAAAATTCGCTCATAGTTTAATAAATCATATAAAGATAGACCTTTAGGTAGTCCAATTTTCTCATGGCCTTTTATGTTACATCTATATGTGTCAATTAGTAATTTAATACTTTTTTTTACTTTTTTGGTACTTTTGAGATTTCTCTAATTATTTAAATTTATTTTCTTAAGTTCGAACGAGTCTACCTATCGTTTACTTAAGAGTAAGATTGATGCAAATCCAGAGGAAATTATGGAGGAGGATTTGGAAACCGAGACAAATCAGAAGGGGCAATAAATCATAATTTCAAATTCAAAATTCAAATTTGGCAAAAGGAAGTTTTAAAAATGGCCTTTTAAGAAGCTCAATTAAAGACTCCCGTTTTCAAAGTTAATTAAAGTTTTTTTTTCGGTTATGTTTTCCTTTATGTTATGTGTTTATTTGCTTTCCTAAAAGTAATTTTATAATTTATTATCTTCCTAGTTGGGATGAGAGGTTTGTAATATGTTTATATTATTTAAATAGAGTAAGAGGAAAGATGGAGGCAGTGCCTATTTCTACTACTTCATGATTTCTCTTGAATTCCGTTTGTGAGTTTCCAACAGCACAGAGGGATTCTGCTTTGCCCCTCTCTTGAGTCCAACAAGATATTGAACTTAAGGGTTAGACATCAAAGATACCTTCATTTATCAATAATTTTAGATTTGAAAATCTCTCCCATTATTGTGAGCATGTGACAAGATGAAAGATTAGGACAAGGACCAAACTATCTTTCACATCGACGACAATTATTAAAGAGCCCCACGCAACAAATGAGCAGAGCAAAGAGGACCGAACAAGAAAGAGACATCGAATATTCTTTTAACGTGGGAGTGTTTTTTTGCGTGCATCTATCATACTTATTAAACACAGAACATCTTCCCTTCGCTCGCAAAACTAAAGTTCTACTCTTATAACTCATTTTCTTCATGCTTAATGTACTATTTTTTATAAAGCCACCCAATTTTATGTATTTAGATTTCTAACATCAAAATTTTACGTTTTTTACTTTATCACCCAATCCTTTCACATCACATCTAAAATATTACTATTTTAACCTTTCGAGATGAACCACACGTTTCTTTGATAGGTAGGGCGGCATATATGTAAAAAAAAATTAAAGTTAGATGTTATATATATAAATACATAATAATTTGGGGTAGTTATGTAAATCTTCATTTTCTTATCTTACAGGATTGTGGAACGAGTAAATGCATCAATTTGATAGTTTAAAAACAATTATATAGCGGATTGATTTGTAAAAAAATAGTATTTTAACACGATCATTTTAGAATAGAAATCTTCCATCACAAACACAACACAAAACATATTGTACAAACATGTATCGACAATGAAGGTAAATAGAACTAACAAATATTACACAAAATATGTTAAGACGCACACCCAACAAAAACTTAAATAGAAAATATGTATGTAGATGATTATATTCAGAAACTAAACAAGAAAAAAATATCTAAACCCCTAAGTGACATCGTTTGCGAAATCATTCTCATGCTTCCGTTCCTCTCCCTCCTCATCCACTGAACTCAAAGGTCGCTTGCGATGACGATCAACAATACCCTCCCCTTTCTCTTCCCTGTAGCCTGTCTTCACATCTCGTAGTCATACTGCTCAGATGTTGACTAACTGCCACTGCCACCAGATGTGCTTGTAGTCCTATATAATTAAAAATAATGATTATTTAACATTTAATATTAATAATATAAGAAAATTATAGAAAATCAAAGTTCCTTACTTTCCTTGATACACCCGACCAAGCATATGAGCCTATGAACATGAAAAAATAGTAAATATCAGATAATTGCAACATTAAATTATCGAGTATTGAGTTAATCTTACCAAGTTTAAGTAATGCTCTATGTGTGGGATTGATCCCTCATGTGGAGTGTGACATCCGTGGCTCTCTCAACTTCTTCGGGTTTGTTTTCTTGTTTATTTGATAACCAGGAGATGCCCATGTTCTGGTCAACTCTACCCACACCTCACCAACCCAAATCGGCTGCTCCTGCTTCTAACAGACATTGTAAACATATCACACAACTGATGTCTGAAATGAACCTAAAAATATGTCAGATTTGTTGATGATGCTCTGACAACCAGTGGAAGGACCTTTGTAAAAGAAAGATTACGCATTGTTTATTAGTATAAGAATATAAATTGAAATTCTAATTCTAATTCAAATTAACTTATTTTACCTTGAACTCTTTGAACCACATGTCTCGAATAGCGATCGAGATCTTCTTCCATGAGAGATTCAAAGTATCATATCTACTTCTAATGATCTATGTGATACGTGTGATGACTGCCTAGAGAGGTGGAATTTGAACTAGAAATATTAGTTGCATAAAGTGGCAAAAATGTACTTCAACTTAGTCCAATATAAGAGGTAACTTACGAGTTTCCATCTGACTCAATATATATCCAACCTGAGGCGTCCTACCGCAAAGCGGCGGGTGCAGAAGGGCCTGTATCATCTGCGTTGGGTTGTGGTGGCCAAATGCTCGAGATCGAACCAAATGTAGGCACTTCAAAAGTAAAAGCAGAGCACATAAAACAAACAATTAAAAAAGTAGAAAGCTAATGTTAGAAGAGATAAAGCTAGGAATAAACTAAAATACATCGGATATATTTATATATCCCAAATAATAAGTACACATACATAGATACACATAACACGTACAAATAAAAAAAAAAAAAAAAAAAAAAAAAACTAACATGGATGTAAGATTTGAGAGGAGAAACACTTGCCGGAGCCACGAAATCACATGTGCAAAATACCGAGTAGTCCCCGAACATTCGGCGGAGCAGAGTCATCGCCAGAGCCGCGACCTAGGAGAGCAAACAAATAGCAGAAGCATGAATGGGGCTACGGGCATGGGAATAGAATTTTAGGATTTGTTGGCAGAAAAAAGAAATTGGGCTCTCTTGGGTGCCCGCCATAGATCTTGAAAGATTTATATCTAAATGATCAAATGCATCCCCGATAGGTAGAAATATCACCTTAAAATCGATCTATTCATTCAAAAGAGGAAAGTATTTAAATTATATGGGTCTATGCAACCAAGAATTTCTCCTACCTTAAGGGTGTAAGATATTCTAGGGTATGGTATCTATACAAGAGCAAATTCTCGTTGTTAATTATGTCGTAAGAGTTGTGGGTCCCAAAAATACTCTATTAAAATTTTAGCTTATATTATGCAGAATCACTCTTCCCTGCATTTGATTATCATTATTGAGCCATGTCGCTCCTTTTGCCTTTGTTGGTATCTTCTTGACGGCTTGATTATCGATGAGGTATTGCTCGTTTGGGATATGACGATTTGTTATCTGCCTTTACAACCCATATATGCTTTGACGTATCGAGAATCTTTGTCTGGATGATTCAATTATTTCACAAGCTCCGTATGCCGACGATGCCGTTTTCCATGTGGGTACCGCGGGAGACTCACTCTCTGCTTTGTGGCTTAACGAGGGATTTGAAAAAATTAGAGCATTCCCTTGTGAAATAAATGTACTTTGATTGTCCTGTGCTAGTTGTCACTACTAATCTGACTTTGTGAGCAAAATTCCTTTGGATCAAGAGTATTCTTGGACAACCTCTAAGATGTAATTAACCAAGTATGATATGTCTCTTTAGGAGCACTCTAGACACCAGAACAGACAAACACACCCTATTATCTGGTTATAAGTAGTCTACATAGGTATTCTTTCGCGGATAATTGTCCAAGGTGCCTCCGCTCGATTTTGTTTGACCAGACATACTTAACATATTCTTGTTAGATTTATCACACGTAGGCTTTCTATATTCGCTTTCTCTTTGTTTATCTTCATCATTATATGTCCTTGCTTTTCTGGTTCTTTTCTTCTCCAGATCGTTCTTATGTTTCAGATAAATACTTATTCAGAAAAGGAAATTATATGATGATAATAAACTGACGACTCCTTCAAAAACTATATATATAAAAAAAAGAAATATAACCACCAACACATACACGATTCTAATGAATTCACTTATCTGTCATCTAAGTATCATTTTCATGCATGTAATACATTAAAAAGAAAGATTTGACTATTAAAAAATGATAATGAATACTATAACATAGAAAAATTCATAAGAATTAAATGTTATGTATGCAAATGCACGTTAAATTCTTATAATTACATGCATGTCGCTTAAATATTTGAATGAACATAAATGATATTAATATTATTTATTTTTTACAAATTTTTTTCATGCAAAAGTTTTTAAATGAAAAGGTTATAAGTGTCATTATCAAAATTTAGGTGTTCAATAAATAAGAATTTTGTCGTTGTGTGTAGATTCCCCCAAAAAGTAGGTTTCTTTTTTTCTTTTTTTATTATTTTTATTTTTTTAATTTTTACAGTTTTGACTTGTCGACTTCTTTTTTCAATCGCAGGGCTATAAATACCTGAACCGTTTTTTCAATCTGCTCTGAACTCGCCGGGGAAGAAGCCATGGAATCCATGGCTTTCCGGCTGGTTGAGAGGCCGTTTGAAGCGGAGGATCGAGCGAAGGAGTTTGATCCTGGCATGCCGCCGCCATTCAGAATTGCTGAGATCCGCGCGGCGATACCGAATCACTGCTGGGAGAAGAATCTATGGCGGTCGATGAGCTACGTAGCTCGAGACGTCGCCGTCGTCTTCGTCCTCGCGGCGGCGGCTGCTTGTATCGACAGGTGGGTTGTTTGGCCTCTGTATTGGGCTGCTCAGGGGACGATGTTCTGGGCTCTCTTCGTTCTCGGCCATGACTGGTATGTCTGACGGTTAATCTCGCCCAATTTCTTTATGGAAGGTCGCGATGGATTAGGGTTTCTTTTTCTGAGATGTAATTTTGGGCAGTGGGCATGGAAGCTTTTCGAATAACCGCAGGGTGAACACTGTTGTTGGGCATTTCATTCATACCTTCATTCTGGTGCCGTATCATGGATGGTAAGCCTGTTTTTCTAAACCGATTTGATCGGCTTCGTTGTTTTACCATTTTTGTTCTTTTGTTCAGGAGAATAAGCCATAGAACTCATCATCAAAACCACGGACATGTGGAGAACGATGAATCCTGGCACCCTGTTAGTGTTTCTCTCAGTTTTCTAAATGAAAGACTGATTTCTTAATTTCTTTCTTGTTAGTTTTTCCTGATGAAAATTTCTACTACTTCTATTGCTTTTTCAGTTGACTAAAAGTGTTTATGAGAGCTTAGCTCCAGTAACTAAGAAGCTTAGATTCACATTTCCTTTCCCAATATTCGCCTTCCCCATCTACCTGGTGAGGGATTTAACCCTTGTATCATCTGCCAGTTTTATGCTGGAATTAATCAGATCACAGTTCTGCTAACCATTTCCATTGATGACAGTGGACACGAAGTCCAGGAAAGAGAGGATCACACTTCAATCCTGAGAGTGATTTATTTGCCCAGAATGAAAGGAAAGATGTTATTACCTCTACAGTTTGTTGGATGGCCATGGCTGCTCTGTTAACAAAATTAACCTTGCTTTTTGGCCCTCTGCAAATGATCAAACTTTATGCAACTCCTTACTTGGTCATTCTTTCACTTATTATAAACTTTTTTTTTTTTTTTGTCCTTTTGTCCTTTGCTCCATGATTGAAGCTCCATGATTGAACTGTTTGGTCATAAAAATGTAATCATGTTGCTTTGTTTGCAGATTTTTGTGATGTGGTTGGACTTCGTGACTTATTTGCATCACCATGGACACGATGGAAATCTTCCCTGGTATCGTGGCAAGGTAAAGAATTCTTTTCCTAATCATCTGGATTTAACTATATATTCAGGAGAAATATTTACGTACGTCTTACGTATGCAGTGTTACGTACATATTATGTTATTCGTACAATTAGATTATAACGCTTGTCATTCTTCCTGTGTAATCTATTTATACCATCCGAATAACCTAATATGTACACAATTCTGCATACGTCTTACGTACGCAAATATTTCTCCTCGAGAGTATTAGGACATGAAAATTGTTCGCCATTAAGTTTTATTAAATTATCATAAGCTATTTGGAAGATTTACTTATATGCCACTCAACTCCTATGTATTTACATATCTAACACCGAACCTTCAATTTTTACACGTGTTGCTCTACAAAAACTAGTATTATAAATTAAAATTGTTGTAAAAATTTAGGTGTTATAAATGTAAAAAGCAAAATTTAGGTGCTAGTTATGTAAATACATAGGACTTGGGTGGTATGTATGTAAATTCCCCATTAATAAATCCTAGATTTAACAAATATAGGGGCTGAAATGAAATTTATGAAAATTGTTGGGTTTAAAGCAACCAAGATTTTTTTTTTGGCAGCATTTTTAAGCTATAACTTGCTTTAAATCCTGCTAAAAATAGATGCCAAGCATTTCCATAAAAAATGAGTGGAAACAAATTCGTCATTTTCTACAACATATTTTATATTTACAAGCAACCAAATGATAAATAAACAATTATTTTATTTAATTTGATAATTAAAGAGGCAATTACATACATACCACCTGAAATTTGTTATTTACAAATCAACCACGTTCTATCAACCACGTTCTTTCATCCATTTTTCAAATTTTCACTAAAATAAGGAAATTCATGATAAAACCCCGGCCCAAAAAATCACATAGGTGAATAATTTATAAATATTAAATTTTCAGATGTTCCATACATAATTATTCCTAAAAATAATAATGATAATTATTTTAAAAATACATTTGAGTGCTTTTAAAATAGAACGAGTTGTTTTTCAAAATAAATAAAATAAAAAATATAAAAATTATACTAATCAAACGTATTTTCGAAAAAAAAATTACATACAAGTAAAGTGATGTCAAATAGGGCTGCCAAAATAACACGTGTTCGGCTCGTTAAGAAGCTTGTGTTCAACTCGTTCGCTAAGTTAATGAGTTGAACACGAACAAAGATTGGTTCGTTCGTGCACGACTGGTTTTGGCTCGAAATACTACTCATCAATTATATTTATGTGTGTGTGTGTGTGTGTGTATATATATATATATATATATATATATATACAATACTCCTAAATGAGTACTATTTTTAAAAATTTAATTGACTAAAAGGCTACAAAGATTTTTAACCAATTAAAAATACTAATTAAGAAAATAAAATAAAAATTGTTAACTTAAATTCAAATGATGTTTTAGTATAAAGAAAAATTTTTAAAACTTGCCCCAACTCTTAACATCTTTTACCTACGTGATTAGAGTTGTCAAATGACTATTTGTCTGTAAACAACTCGTGTTCGGCTCGCTAAGCAAACGAACCCTTGCTGAGCAAGCGAGTCGAGCACGAACACACTTTTTAAGCTCGAAATATAAACGAGCCGAACAAGAGCCGAGTCTGGGCTCGCTTGTGTTCGGCTTGTTTACAACCCTAATGCCAAACATGCCCAAACTTATCGAACTGTTGTTGATTTCCAGGAATGGAGTTATCTTCGAGGAGGATTAACGACGATCGATCGTGACTACGGATGGATCAACAACATCCACCACGACATTGGTACTCATGTGATTCATCACCTCTTCCCACAAATACCACATTACAATCTTGTAGAAGCCGTAAGTAAAACCACACTTATATAGTCTATAGCTCGGGTTCATGTCTAACCTAGAATTGAGCTTAACCCGACTCAAATATTAAACGGATCAAAAAATCTAACCCAGACCCGACTAACCCAAACCCCTACCGCATAACTCATTTAAGATATACATAAAAGTTATTTCACTCGACTTCGGGTCAATTTTCGATTCTAGTTGAGTTAATTTATCAGATCAATGTTTGACACCCCTACATACTACACATGCAGACTAAGGCCGCGAAGCCGGTGCTTGGAAAATACTATAGAGAACCGGAGAAATCTGCATTTTTACCATTCCACTTGTTTAGAGCTATATTAAAGAGCTTGAGACAGGACCACTACGTAAGCGATATTGGAGACGTTGTGTACTATGAGAAGAATTCAAAGTAGTGATTCTTTTCATGTTCGGAATAAAAGCGAAGAAGGGGGTTCTATTTATAATAAGTGTGCTCCAAAAATTTTGTTGTTTCAAGTAAAAATTGTAACTTTTATTTTTTAAAAAAAGTAGCCGTTGCCCATTGTCCACAATTTATTGTTCCAAATAAATGATGAGGATTAGTGATTTCACTTCAAGAATTTATCTTAAAGTTGTTTGATTCAATATGAAATAAATGTCATACTTTGTAGTTCGCATTTTGTGGCCTGTTGGTAGAGCGTCAGTTTCGTCAGTCGTAAGTCCTCTCAGGTCTCAGGTTCGAAACAGACAATAGCGAGAGCGGTGCTTAACTGGACAACAAGATGCAGGGAGATGCGGAGTATAAAGTTGGCATCTGTTGGCGCAACAGTTTAGACAAAACAGTTGCATTTAAAATTTGCCCAAATCCAACCAAAACTAAATATAGTAAAAATGAATTATAAATGAATTCCAAATTCATAATAATTTTACATTGCATTTTCAAATTAATCCAACTAAACACCCAAAATTTTGAAACACTTCAAAATTAAAAGTACAATTTTCTATTGTTGCATAAGACCAAATAGCCTCTAGATTTGAAAAAGAGTCATCCATAATTGCTTAGGCCAAATCAATCACATTGTTGTGCCGACCTAAATCAGATATATAATGGACTACTGGTTTTTGTAAAACTTGCTCTCTAAAGGTAGTCATGCACTATTTCTATATAAGGGGCACTTACATAAGTACCAATGTACCATCCAATTCCTATGTATTTACTTATGTAACCTGAACTTTACTTTTATATTTATACCATTAAAATCGCTCATATCACATGAAACATATCAAAATTTTTAACTTTTAAAAGTAAAATACTCCTTTTCAAACATTGATAGGGTCTCGAGCAAATATGTAATCTTTGAGTAGAGCCTTGCCCCAGAAGATCTCCTGAAACTTCGTGGTAAAGAGTAATCTTATAATACTGTTTTGTCATCAATGTCTTTGCCCAATCAATGTCAGCCCGACCAGTGCCGCCAGCTAATGCTCACCAAACTACAATTGTCTATCCACTATCGCCTGGTTTTAGTCACCTTATCATTGTCATTTGACTATATCACCAGATTGATATCGTTGCCCACCATCAACCGATCAAGCTCGCCTGATTACTACCACCTACTTATGATCGACTATAAGTTTAATTTATAGGGCATTTCCATGCACAACACACAATTCTAGTGCATTTACACATCTATCCCCGAAACTTTCATATTTAAACACATAACAATGAAATCTTTACTGTAACATAAAAAATAGCACAATTACCACTTCTTAATTATGAAATATAAATTTTCATGTAGAGGCCTAAAACACCAAAGTGCTATGCATAAAAATATGAAAATTTAGGTCTGAGATATACAAATAAGTAAGAATTATGGTAGGTATGTAAATTTTTCTAGTTCTAAAGTTAAGAATAAAGAATAAGTGTTGCTTCAAGTGGAAAGCTACAATTGTCACCTATGGTTGCAGCTGAAATTAGACCTAGTCATTGCATCTAAAGTGGTGAAGGACTAAGAAATATGGGGTCAACTTAATGAACCCTAAATTGAAAAAAAGTCAAAATCTCTCTTGATTTTTTCTCATTTTCTTAGGGTTTGTTTTGTGACTAATTCCTTCCTTCTATTTTGTGAAAGACACAAAGAAATATGGAATCAACCCAAATTTGAAAAAAAAAAATAAAAAAAAACAACAAAAACAAGCTCTCTCTTGATTTTATTTCATTTGTTTAGGGTTTGTTTGGTTTCCTTTTTTTTTTTTTCTAATTTTTATTTTGTTTTTTCCTTTATTTGACTCGACCTTGTAATTTAACACAAAATTGAAAATAATAATAAATCTTTTGGTTTCATTAAATTTTCATTGGGTTTATTCGTTGTTATCAGTTTTATTTTCTAATTTTTTTTTCTTTTGTTTTTTAAAAGAGTAAAGCGCCAAAATAGTTCTCAACTATTTACATGAAGTTGTTTTAGTCTCAGAGTTTATAGAAGCATCAAAACAACCTCCGACTCTTTTAAAATTGAGTTTTAACAGTTCTCAATCTGGGCAATTTAAGCTCTAATTTAAAAAGTCCGAACTATTTTAGTACTTCTATAAACTCTAAAACTAAAACGGCCCGACATAAATAGTCGGGTACTATTTTGTCACTTAACTCATTTTAAAAATATATTTATTTGTTGTGTTATATATATATATA